CAGGAAAATGGATGCTGACATCAAGAGATGGGAGGAACTACCTTCCAAACAACTTCAATGGTGCTGCAACCTCAACCAAGCAACAGCCCATTTCAAGGTAAAGCATCTTGATGCCCACCTTGCTGGGGTCATCTCACCCCAGCAGTCTTTCCTGCTCAAGTGCAGGGGGGCTGGACCTGATGATCTTGTAAAGGTCCCTTCCAACACCTAACATCTATGAATCTTCCTCTCAAAGCAGAGAAGAAAGAGTGAAGGAGGAAAAGGAGAGAAATCCTAGTTTGCAGCCTAATCTTCCTGGTGGAAAGACCTGCAACTTCTGTGAATGGATCCATGGCTCAAGGATTGAACTCTTTAATCATCTCAAGACCCATCAATGAGCTGTGATAGAGATTATCCCCAAATCAAAGAACTGCTGATGATGCTTCAAGTTCCTACCACTGGTGAACATCAAAGCCAAAGGGGACCTTAATTAATAATATATAAAATGAATTATATAAGCACAGTATAGCAGCTTCCCCCATGGTTACTTTCAGTCGGTTTGATTCTGCCTTGCCCTCCGTTAGCTGTGCCTTGGGGTCAGGGTAGCCTCCCTGGTCTTGTACAGCCTGCACATTGGCCAGATAATACAGCAGCAATAAAGACAGTCAGTGACAGAGAAAATCCACCCTATTCTGGTCTTACTTATATCCCTGCAATTGGGCCTGCCCTCTGCAGTAACTTGAAGAAGCCAAGGAAGCCAGATAATCTTTCTGTCTTGGGACCCTGCACTGTGGCACCAAGGTACTATGAAACACAAAGACACGGATTTGAATGTCCTGCCCCTCTCCAACCCACGGGTGGCAGCTTTGGCATGATATATAAAGGCTGTTGTGAAGTCAGACTGAATTCTCAGTAGGCATAGTCTTGCTAATGGAAATGGAACTTGTGATAGGTCTATGCTTTGGTCCCTCCCTCTTCCCATCCATATTCCACAGCCTATTCCACCTCCTGCTCCTCACCTGCCCTGATTTGATGGTGATTGGTATGTATTCAGAGGGAGGCTGCCCTTAAGACCAGGGTAATCGTTTCCTTACTGCCTTAGGGCTATTTTTGTGGCCTCCTTCCTTGCCACCCCTGTAGCCATGCCCACACCTCACTGATGACACTCCATCTACCCCTTTGTAAGGGACTCTCTTCCTGAAGCTCTCTTTCTCTGTGCCCAAAATCAGCACCAGACATCTCAGGCCCCAAACCATGGTCAGGCTTCAGCCTTTTCAGTTTCTTTCACCCTTGGCTCAGGTCCACTATTTCTGGCCCTGGCTTTCTTGATCTCAGCCCTGCAGCAAAAGGTGCCTACCAGGTACCCTGCTCATTGCCTCCTCCACCCCTACAGCCATTCCCAGTCCTCTAATCCTTTAACTCAATTTCAAAACACAGAGAACCAAAAGGGTTAATCATCTGGTTATGTGCTATTTTCCAACCCTCCAGGGTTACAAAAAAAAGATTTCTGCTATCTAGATCTGCTGAGACTTCCTTCCTCAGCTCCCTGGAGTTTCTCCACACCCACCACCCACAAGCCCAGTCTTTATTTGTCACCTGGCTGCTGTCCATTTGTTGCTGCTTAGCTTAATGGGCTACCTGGCTTACCCTACTTTGCAGCCTTTCCTGGCTCCAGGCTTGAAACTCTTTTGAGCTGCCTGCTGCATCCCATTTCCCCTGTGATTCCCAAAGGTCAGCTCTCAAAAGGGGTCAGCCTCCTTCCCTCTTTCTCTGTTCCAGGCAAGCAACCAGGCTTGTGTTCCCTGTTACAGAGCTTCACCTATGGATACTGGCTGAGACTTTGATCTCTGGTTTGGGTGCTTTACAGCAGCCTCTCTGAAGGTGGGTTTTGCAGGACACTTTCACAATGGCTTAGTCTATGCTTATCTAACTGGCAGCCCATAGGCCACATGCACTCCTGAAAGAATTAACCTGGGGCCCATGGGCTCCCAGTCTGGCTGCCATTCCCTGCAACACCCTCCTGCAGAGTCTCTGGGGCTTCCACTCCTTCCTCCTGTTTCCGCTTCCTGCCTTCACACCCTCGGGATGATGCAAGACTGAGGGAGCCTGTGGCTGGGGGTTCAGGAAGACCCAGGGACCCCATGCAGTCTGGGAGCACATGTGCAGTGCCTTGAGGGGGGATGCCCACCACTGGTGCAGCACAGCAGAGAGAAACCCATGCAGCACAGCACAGTGTGTGGCCTGCACAGCAGGTGTCCAGAGGGCCTGTGGCCCTCAGCCAGTACCAAGTTGGAAAGCCCTGGTTTAAATTTTTTCCACAAGAGACAAGCCTGAAGCATCTCTTTTTCTTTTTTTTTTTTATCTGCAGGCCCTTGATAACTCTTTGTCAGTACCTTTTCTTGTCTTATTTGCTAGCCAGGAACCATATGATTGCCAGCTGGTGCTTGTATGTATATGGAGTCCTGGCCTCTGATTAGGGTGCCAAGGCTCTATGTGTTAATGAAGAATGGTAGTGTATTTTCAAATGATAAATTAAGCATTTACAAACTGGGGTTCTGGCAGCTTTGGGCTGAGAAATAAGTAGCTCAGGGATGAGTTTTGTTTTAGAGGCAATATCCCTTACAGTGGGCTGGGTTTAACTGGCACTGAAGAGGCCAGAGGGAAGAACTGCAGGGGGTCATCTGTCACAGCCTCCCAATCCACTCTTCTAAATGGTATCTCAGGGACCCCAGGAAACCACTGCAGTCATTTTTGTGTCATGGTCTCCTCCTCTGCATTTTATACTGCCGTGATCAGTGCAGCAAGGCACACCACTGCTAAATAAAGCTGAGATGTGTCGCCTTCTCCACTCCCAGGAACGTGTTAACTTTGCCTTTGCCAGTCAATATCAGATGAAGAAAGCCGGCCTCAGCAAATAAAGAGCTATGGGGTCCAGAAGCTATTCAGTGTAAAGGAAGGCACCAAAGATGCTCTTGCCTGAGCTGCCAGGCTCAGCAAACTCAAGCGGTCACTCTGGAAAAGGCAGGAATATAACCTCTTCTCCAAATGTTATCTGCAAAGCCACAGCACTGGTGCCATGATCGAGGAGACAAATTTCTTCTTATGTTCAGCTGGGTTAATCAGCCGTGCAGCTTCAGTCTCATTTACAGGCCATAGCATTATACAGAAAAAGGGCATGCAGCAGCATAAATGAAATGAATCCAAGACTATTATATTACAAGCTGCTTCCTAGCATTGTAGACTCATTCTTCCTCCACCGTACTACACCATCAATGAATGAGTAATAAGATCAATTGGCTGCAATATGCCCTGCTAGGTTTGGCGCTCTGCTACTGCAGCACACTTTCCTGTGGGTTGGAAGTTACCACACAGCAAGGATTACTCTGTACCCCTGTGTAACAGGGTACTGGGCTGTGCCTATTTCATTAAGAGGGCAGGAAGCCTGAAAGGCCACTTGCAGGTGATGAAAGGAGTTGATTAAGGATTCATCTGACCAGCAGCAGGCCAGGCTGGAGCTATTTACTGCACTGGGCCTGAACTGATTAGGCAGTCTCACCCTGAAAGTCATGAAGACAGGAACTATTAGCAGCAGAGCTCCTAACTTGATCATAGGACAGAGCAAGCAATCCTGTAGTCCAGAGAATAAGAGAAAGGTACCTGGGATAGAGAGGGGTTCATTTACACAGGCAGGTGGCCTTGATTTTATATTAGACTCAGGTTGAGTTTGGGGCCTGCCAGAGGGCCTAGCTGTTATATTAAGTTGTACTGATGGCTTAGCCTTGAGCCCTGCTGGGGCAGGCTCAAGGCCCCCTTAGAGAACCAGGAGCCCAGAGATTGCAAGTGGGGTCCCACAGGGAGTGCAGCAGCCCAGAGGTCTAAAGTGGGGCTTTACAGGGAGTTCAGGAGGCTGGGAATGAGACCTAAGGGTCCCCAAGCCCTGAAAGGGACTGAGCAAGATTAGAGGGTCTGAGAGCCCAGAGAAGGGTGGAGAGCCAGACCAGGGGGCCCGAGAGCCCAGAAGAGAGGGGCTGCACATGGGACCAGGGGGCCCAAGAGTGCAAGGGGGCTAAATGTGTAAAGCTAACATTATGAGTGATAACACCCATGAAGCATGGGACATGGGATAGGGAAGGGAAGAGCCAGGCACTGAGCCCTTAACCCTATAGGTGCTAAGAGAGCCTGAGTAACTTAAGTGCCCAACTGAGACTAGAAAGGTCCCAGAGGGACCTGATATGACTTGCACACCTTATGGAAGGCCCATGGGCAGCCTCCCTTACATAATCCTCTGTAAGAACAAGTGGCAGGCAAGCAATTAAGGGAGGTCCACCTTGGAGACTGAGTCGGGCAGGAGCTGCACAGCCACCAGGGAGCATCATGGCTGCCACCCCTGAGGCTCATATTTGCTCTACCATGTCTTCTCCATTCATACATGCTCCCAGAGTTGGATCATCCCACATTTCTTTATAGCTGGGAACATGCACAATTGACTGACAGCCTAGGGGGCAAAGCCCAAAACAGGCTCAAAGAATATCCCATTGCCTTGTTTATGCCAGTATAAAGCTAAAATAAATCCAGTTGTTTCAGTGGAGTTCTTCCTAGTTTGTATCAGTACAAAGACCAGAATTTGTTCCTAAAAAGAAGAGGACAGGAATACAAGCACTGCTCTGGCTTCCAAGGAGGTGAGATCTAGTCAGGGTCATCTAGCTCAACCCCCTCCATAGGTGGGGGATTCACTGTTCCTAAACCAACCCAGGCAGATGCCCCTCTAGCCTCATCCTGAAAACTTCCAGCGAAGGCAATTCCACAACTTCCCTGGGCAGCTTGTTCCACTACCCTACAGTTCTGACAGTTAGGAAGTTTTTGGGGTATTTTACCTGAAATGTAATCTAACTCTGCTTTGCTGCAATTTAAACCTGTTGCCACATGTCTTACCTGTAATTGGGCTCCCTTGTTCCTCATTACAAAGAAAGAAGGGAAAAGAGGGAAGGGCCCAATAAGTGGAACAAGTTAGACTGAGAGAACCTGTCCTGCAAGGATATGAGAAGGGGAAAGGGCAGGAAGTCCCAGGCAGTGGAAGGGAAAGGAGCTGAGCCTAATCACAGTGATTGTGAGTCAGCCTGGGGAAAAGCCAGAGCTAGGAGAAACCCAGCCAAGATGGAGTATGCCTGAGAGAGGCCAGAGCTAGTGAGAGCCCAGCAGAAGACCCAACACCAGACCAGAGGTATGGTGAAGTGCAGGAATGGCTTTAAAAGGGAGTTAGGAAGCCACATTTCCTAAGAGGCCCCACAGATCCTCAGCAGTGGGATGTAGTTCAGCCCCAAGGGCATTGCCATCTCCTAGGAACTTAAACACTGAAAGAACAACAAGTCATGGGCAGTGTGTTAAATAAGGAAGCTGGGAGACAAATGTGGATTTAGTGGGGGCCTCACAGGCTGCACCTCAGCTGAAAAAGGTGCCAGTGCTCACTTACCCCCACCCCCATGGCAGAGGGAGTTTTTCACCCTCCTCTCTATGGCAGCCTTTCAATACATGAAAACTGCTATTGCATGCTCCCCCCACACTCCAATCTCCTTTTCTCTAAATGAAGTATACTTAGATCCCTCAAAGCATAAACATGACCAGGCAGAGCAGCACTCTCACCTCCCGTGTCTTGCCTACAATGCTTTTTGCAATGAAATGCAGAACTGCTTTTGTTTTTGTTATAGCAGATGCACCTTGCTGTATCTGCAATGCAGAGAGACCTAAAACACCATGCTGGGATACGGAAAGGGCTGCAATAAAGATTAACAGATGTTGAAATCAGGCAGAGTTACTCTAGGTGATAAGAAGCTTTCAGCAGAAGACAAACATAAAGGAGACAGACAATAAACACAAGCAAACATCCAGGGACACCTGAGTCTTCACAGCTGCTATGGGTAAGCCTCTTAAGAATTCGAGGAGGGTGGGGGACACATCTCTAGCCTCCTTATTCAATGGTATTACATGGGGCCCAGACCCACCATGAACACTGAGAGCTCACAGCTCTTCATATAGGCAGACACATTAGTCCTATAACTTGTAGATGTCTCTGTTGAAAAAGCAAAATGCAACCTGGAGTCTAATGTGCTTTACTAACTAAAATGCACTAAAGAAAAAAATGCCCTGATCTCTACATTCTATCACAATAGACCTCCACAGCCTCTTCTAGGCCTACTGATGACCCAGTTAGGTCATGCTAGGAAGGATCCCATCATGATGTCCCAGAGATTGTGTTTCAGCAGCTAGCTGCTGTCCAGTTTTAAATGGCTGAAGTGATAGAACAGCCCTCTAGTGGCTGGGGAATAGACTTGACACAGTAGAGGTTGGTATTTGGCATCATGGGTGTAGGCCTGTGCGAAACAGAAGTGTTTCGTTTCGACCAGCATTTCAACATTTCGACAGAACAGTGTTTTGTTTCGACTTCTGTTTCAAGTTGAAATGGCTGCTCCATTTCGTTCCGTAGAAACGTTTTGCCGTTTTGACCCTGTTTCAACGTTTCGTTCATAAGATATAATGGGAAGGTCAAAACAGGCTATAACTTTGTCATTTCTGGCCAGATTTGGATGAAACTTGCAGGAATGGTGACGCCTTCTGAGGGCATAATGCACACCAAGTTCCAAGAAGATAGGTACAGGGGGTTCAGAGAAACTTCACCCCAAAATCTTGAGAGCAAAACTCATGTCACGTGTATGTGTTAAGCCACAAGGGGGTCAAAACTGCAGGGATTGTAGCCCCTACTGAGACCACAAATCTGCCATGTTTCAAGGAGATAGGTGCAGGGGGTTCGGAGACTGCACCCCAAAATCCTGAAAGCAAAACTTGTGTTGCGTGTATGTGTTAAGACACAGTGGGGTCAAAGCTACAGGCTTGCTAGCCCCTGCTGAGGCTACGAAGCCTGCCAGGTTTCAAGGAGATAGGTACAGGGGTTTGGGAGAAACTGCACCTCAAGCTGCGGACAAGCAAAACTCGTGACATGGGTGACACTGTGTGTGTGTTAAGGCGCAGCAGGGTGAAAGCGGCAAGGATGGTAGCCCCTGCTGCGGCCACAAAGCCTACCAGCTGTTGAGGAACTCGGTGCAGGGCTTCTGGGTTCTGGGGCCCTGCACCTCTGGCTGCTGACAGGTAAAACTTGTGACGTGCTTGTGCAACTGTGTCTATCTTGGGACACTGGAGCGGGGGATGTTGGGGGAGGTGGAGAACTACTGCAGGCCTGGCTGCTAAGCTACTGTGTTAGCAGTTACCAATTAATCATGATTCACTCAGGGACCAGCTCAATACACAGGACTTAGCTACTATATAACAACTTAACGAGCATGGATTAACATCTACAAAACCAGGACTAAGGAGAAGAAATAATCAATACAGACAATCAACTGCCCCAAGACAGAGACAGTCAGTTGCACAAGCACCCACGTCATGAGTTTTCCCTGTCCCGAGCCAGGGGTGCAGGGCCCCAAAACCCAGAACCCCTGCACCTATCTCCTTGAAACGTGGCAGGCTTTGTGGCCTCAGCAGAGGCTGGCATTTCTGTGGTTTTGACTCTCCTGTGGCTTAACACATACATGTGACATGATTTTTGCTTTCAGGATGTTGGGATGCAGTTTCTCCAAAACCCCTGCACCTATCTCCTTGAAACGTGGCAGGCTTTGTGGCCTCAGCAGAGGCTGGCATTTCTGTGGTTTTGACTCTCCTGTGGCTTAACACATACATGTGACATGATTTTTGCTTTCAGGATGTTGGGATGCAGTTTCTCCAAAACCCCTGCACCTATCTCCTTGAAACGTGGCAGGCTTTGTGGCCTCACCAGGGGCTAGCATGCCTGCAGTTTTGACTCCACTGTGGCTTAACACATACACGACACAAGTTTTGCTCTCAAGAATATGGGGTGCAGTTTCTCTGACCTCCCTGCACCTATCTTCCTGAAACTTGGCACACTTTATGCCCTCAGAAGGGGCTACCAGTTCTGCAAGTCTTATCTAAATCTGACCAGAAATGACAAAGTTATAGGCTGTTTTGACCTTCCCCATTATAGCCTATGGGCGAAACATTGAAATGGCGACACGTTTTGATTGGCCTCATTTCGTTTCGAGGCTGTTTCAAACATATCTGTTTTGTTTTGATTTTGCTGTTTCAACCTTGAAACAGGTTGAAACAGTGTTGAAACAAAACTGGTGGCGAAATTTCGCACAGCCCTAGTATACAGCTCTACCCCATCTTACTTCTCTGATTTTGTTCATATTCAACTCATCCCATCTGCTCTACAACAAATGCTGGGCTAAATTTACCCCTCTTGGCTGCTTCTCCCCTTATTCATACACACCATCCCATAGGCATGAATACCATCCCTGAGCAGACCCATAAGGCTGCTTACTCTCCTCTGATGCCACAAGTAGAACAGCTTGAGAAGTAGCTAGGGGAAGCAGAGCAGGGCTTATTCCTTTTCTTAATGTTAACATTATAGGAAGGCTGTAATTTTCAAAAAAGCCTAAGTGACTTAGGAGCCCAGCTCTCATAAACACCCTGAAGCTCCCCTGAACATCCCAAACAAAAATCAATGGCATACATACATGTTCTTTCAAATTGATCACAGTCCTCTCCCCAGTCCCAACAAGTCACTCATCCTGTGTGGATGGAAACTCTTCAGGGAAGAGATCATATCTATCTGTCTCTCAGCAGCTCCTCAGCAGAATACCTTGGGCGTTCCACAATAGCTACACTATCAGGTGTCTTCATCACAAAGCCATTGCCTCCAGATCTGGCACACACAGGCACTCCTGTTGGCAATGGCAACCAGGAAGTCCAGAATGGGCAGACACCTTAATAAGTGATTCTGCTATGAAATGTGATCTAAAGGTGATGTATCCCAATGAATAAAGGACTAAACAGGACAACCTAGGAGAGCTGGGTTTTATTTCCAGCTCTGCCACTGGTTTGTTGGGTAACTGCAGGCAAGTCACTTTGCTTCCCTGTGCCCCTTCTGTCAAATGGGTATAAGGATACTGATCTCTTGTAAAAAACTCAGAAAGACCACAACAGGTCAGACTGTTTTGGACATTATGAATTCCTACCTGGAATTTCTGGGTTTACTTTGTCTATCACATAGGTGTTTGCTAATACTGTGCATCACCCGTAAAAAAGTTTTCCCACAACACCCGGATTAAGAATCACTGGTCTAGAAGTTAACTCTGTGCATCCTCACTAATAAGGAATGTTCTGGGGGGAACATTTGACCTTTTCTGATTTACATCTGTGCAATTCCATACTGTATTCAAATTCAAACAAATTTTAGGTGAGCAACTGCAGTCATTAGAGTCTGTCTCTGGTGTATCTTGCAACTTTATTGTTATCATCACTGAAGTTACACAGGTGTAACTGAAAATAGACAAAGGGACTGCAGGGGGCTAATGGAGAACAAAGCAGAACTTGCATTTGAGATGTAGTTATCAGTTTGATTACTAACAGTGTGCAAACCAGCACCCTTTCTCCAAAGTTGTGTTGGCTCTGAAATTCTTCACTAGAGTAAAAACCTGTAACAAACCACAGATCTGTGAGAAAAAAAGGTTCTGATTTTACCACATAATTTTTCAAAGAGCTGTCCTTTAAATTATCCATGGTCCCTGTAAGAAGCTCCTTTGAGTTAGGGACAGGGACAGTCCTGGGAAACTATGGCTTGGCTGATGCTTCCTGAGGTCTATAGGTTCAGTGGTGAGAGCATCCCTCTCCCCATGACAGTAACATCAGAACCTTTCATCAACCCCAAACTCACTCATTCACCAAGACTCTTGGTCCTCCAGATACAAACCTTCAATGAAGTCAGAGGCCGCATACAGACGATGTTTTGTATTGCTGTCACCCTCTGGGCTATTTAAAGTCTCCAGTGCCAAGTCAATGGCCTCCACGAGCTCATCCCGCTTGTCCTTTCTCACAGGCTTCTCCTCAGGGTGGCGTGTCAGTCCTGTTTCCAGCTGGTACACCTTCTGCAGAGTAAAGCTCTCAAAGGGCACAGCTGCGTACTCTGTGGACAGCTTCAAGCCTGCATGCACCTCTGCTTTG